GAGGTCCCAGCACGTGGCCGAGCCAGCGGTGGGTTGGGCAGGTGCGATGAGGAATGCTCTGCCTTAGGGCAGGTCTTAGGTGCGGCCCCTCTGCGTGGGCTGGGGCTGGACGTGGCGTTGCGTCCCGTGTTTCCGCAGGCACCCGCAGTCTCTTCCCACGCCTCCTCACCCCCGCCTGTCTGCGCCCTCAGAGAGGGAGTCACTTGATCCAGCGGGGAAACGACCCATCAGAAAAAAACCAAACACAACAGCAACCCAACCTGAAATAATTACTCTTTTGGGTCAACCAGCTGGACAGGCAGCCGACGGTTTTCTGCGTAAGGAACAAGACTCTAGGCGGCATCAACCCATCCTTCTCCAGACGCGCTGTGGGGCTGTGTGTGTCTGTGTGTCTGTGTGTCTGTGTGTCTGTGTTTTTCCACTGCTGACCTGACCGTGGACGCCCGCATAATGGGGATGCATTATAGTACCAGCTGCAGTTTTATTTAGAAGGGAATAATGAATATTTTGTTCCAACAGGCTTTTGAAACGAACGGCGGCCATCTGGTTAAAAGTTTTGCTCTCAGCCGTGTCACGATTCCCCAAAGTGATGATCGAGCACCTCTCAGCCCCGGTCATGCCAAGCAGATTTATTTTTAGGTCGGGCTATTGAACAGGCTCCTGGTTTTCAAAAATCATTAGAATCTCGCTCTCATTATTAAACAGGCACCTTGGAAGCGGCGACTTGCATTTGCCTGGAATTGGTAAAACTTCTCGCTGGTGCTAACAAAGCTGTTGCAGATACTAATGAAGGTTTGAGGGCAGATGCTGCCCCAGACAACGCTGATCCTTGAAAAGCACAGAGCAGCTTGTGCTGCTCTTAAAAAAAAATTAAAAAATAAGCCGTCGCTTCTCTTTTATTAGGTATCTATCCCCAGAGAGCCATTTTAAAGCTCCAAAGTACTGTTTTCTCTGCTATTAGATACTCTCTGATGCTTTGGGGAACAGTTTCTGTTTTCTGCTGTCAAGCTGTTTGACTGCATTGATTTTTTTTTCTATTACAGCAGCAACAGGTCACGGGTGAGACCGAGATCTTTTTTTTCCAGGTGCCTACACACAACACGCATATGTAATCTTACCTTCCCCAAAGAGAGGTATGGGAGTTCAAACAAAGGGGGAATTTAACCTGCACCTTGGTAATGTGTTAAAGCTGCAGATCGGCTCCTAACCCCACTGATGGCTCCTGGGGTAACTGGATTTTGTGCTGGAAATTAGCAGGAATTGCCTCAGAGGCTACACGGTCTGTGTATGTATTTTATGGAGATAGGTGAATAACATGTGTGCATGTGTTGCAGCTTTTTGCAAGAGCAAAAGCTTCCCGCTGAATTCTAGTTTAAGCTCTGGTTGCACTCAAAACTACAGTCGCCCCAGCAGGTTGTTCCCTTTCCAAGAGGAGATTTTGAACAGGGTCTCAATTTTCTCTCCCCCGCAGCATGGACAAGGACAACCAGGATGTTCACCAGGTCCTGAATGAGCTCAAGAACAAGTTCCAGGAGATGAGGAAGCTGATCAGCTCCATGCCCGGCATCGGTGTGAGCCCGGAGCAGCAGCAGCAGCAGCTGCAGAACCTGCGGGAGCAGGTCCAGACCAAAAACGAACTGCTGCAGAAGTACAAGAGCCTCTGCATGTTTGAAATCCCCAAGGAGTAGGAAGGACAGGGCTCTGCTCTCTGACTCCGAGATACCTCCTCTCCTGGCCGAACAGGAGAGAAAGAGGTGGCGGAAGTTTACTTTTCTTTCTTTTACGCTTTTTTGGTGCCGTTGCACTGAAGTTGTGTCCGTGCGGCTCGCAGGCGTGCGACGCTGCACCAGAACACTGCGTTCCTCCCGGGTGATGATTGCAGCAGTACAGTCACTTTGATCTGCTGTAGGACTGTGCATTTATTTATCCATTTGGACTGTGCATTTATATATCCATCTCTTCTGTTTTCTCTTGGGGTGGGGTGAGGGTTTGTTTTTTTTTTTACATTCAGACAAGCAGGAGACGTTACGTTTTCCCCTCGCCAGGGGTCAAAGTACCTGCTGGTTAACTTCAACAAGAAAAAGGGAGCATTTTCTGCCTTTTTTTTTTTTCCCCACTTAAAAGTGGCCAAACTACAAAAGGGAGTATAAGAGGGAAGTGTGGACTCTTTGGCCCTGCTCCGGGAACGGGTCTCCGGGGCGCTTTGCAGTCTGTGTGTGTCGAAAGAGGAGAGATTGCTTTCAATTATGTTCACATTTCTCTCTCCTCAAACAAGTGATGGCTGTGTCTGAGTAAAGATTTAGAAATTCCAAACTGTCCCTCTTGTGTATTCTTTGGGTGGATGGGGCTGAGCAGGGGCAGGACTTTGACAGCGCAGAGGACCTGCGTGTCCTGGGTCCAGCTCCTGTGTCCCCACATGGCTTTTTTGGAAGCGGGATGTTCCAGGACAGCAAAGCAGGAACTGCCAGGGCAGTGGATTTTGATAGGCTTCGGGTCCATAAATCTTGGGTGAGGCAGCTCGTCTGCACGTCGTCGAGCATCTTGCTTTTAAAGCAGAGGAAAGGCAAGCAGAATCAAATCAAAGGGCATAAACGACAAGAGCTTTTTCTTATTCCATACGTGACAGAAATCAGGCTCAACAGGATGGGTCAGTTCCACATCCAAAGTGCTCCAGGGGTTTCCCACTAACACAAGCATTTGAGCAGCTCGAACATTTGCCGGCGGCAGGTGGAGAGCTCTGGATCGCTGTGTCGCAGCGAGGCGGATCCCGGGGCTCCCTGCCCTCTGGCCTGCTGCTCGCTCTGGTTGACGGTGGCAGATGGTGACCTGGTAGCGCCACATCTCACCAACCTAACCAAGACAGGACGGAATCTCGAATCTCTGAGTTAATGGCGAGAGATGGTGCGGGTCGGTAGCAGAAGAGGTGAAAAACCAATATAGTGTCTACTGAGAACCAGCAGCGAGGGCAGGTAGCACTCACGCCTTCCAAAGAAGACAAGCGAGGTCGGTTTGGGCAGGGTTTTCCTTTCCCGAACCAAAAAGGCAAGGAATTCTGCTCGCTGGGAGCTGGCTGGTTGCGACTCACCTGTAGCCGAGGGATTGCTCTGTCCCTGCTGGAATACTTTACTAGTACTTTCTTTGGGCAGGTGCCAGTGTGTAAACGCTGTGTAAAGCAGAACACCAAGACAAACAGAGCACAATGTACACTCTTCATTACTGAAATTACCTTTCTGCCAGCCACCCCAGCTCAATAAATTCTTGTGTCTCATGCCTGGTCTGTGGTTTCCCTTTTTTTTGCCAGCTGCTGTTCCTGTGAAATCAGGGCATATGCAGAGCTGGAAGAAATAATGTGTTTCCAAAGAAATGTCTGGCGCTCAGTGCAGGAACAAGTTAACTCTGTCAACCTGAATCCAAGTTTGAAACGAAACCGGAGCGGTTTGGTTTGCAGTCTCGCTCACCCACCTTAGTTTTGTGGCTTCAACAGAGTTTTTCTGCCATTAATATGTATTAAAAGTAGGCTTGTTCTGCCATTTACGGGAGGAACGGGGGCTGAAAATGAGCCGAAACAGAAGCTGGAGCTGGGGAGAACTGTTCTTTGAAGAGCTTTTCCCTTTCCCTTTCACTTCTAGCAATGGTTACTGCAACTTGTTATTAAGAAGAGATTAAAAACCATCAGATGCAAAGGTGACCTTTCAAGCAAAGTACTTCCTTTACTCATATTGCAAAATAAAAACAATATTCTGGACAGGGCACAAATGAGTCACTCTCTGTTGACATCATTAAAGTGTGCTTAGTTAACCGGAGGGGGGGGGGAAAAAGCATGAAACACAATCAGCTCTTTATAACGAAGTGATGTCAGTTTGCTGGGTTTCTGCAGTGAATGAGATGCCAATGCCCTGTGTGTCATGGGCCTGGCGGGATCGTCACTCGGCGTTAGTGAAGTGAGGAAAGAGTCTTGGCTTGCTGACCCGTTTGAGTAACTCAATCTCTGCGTGGCCCCTCGCTACCCGGTGTGGCAAGAAATCGTCTGCTTGCAGAGACGGAAACCTTTGCACTGGGAGTCGGGAGAAAATGGGGAAATAAAGGGATCAAGGCGAGAGGCTGTTTTTAGCGTCTCGGAGCTGGGCTCAGGTCTTGGTTTAACAGGATTTGGGTTTGCTACGGGGCCGGGCGAGGAAGCAAAGACAAACCCGCGGGTATCGCTTTAAAAAGGTTTTATTAATTTGTAGAAAAAATAAAACATCAAGTTTCACCCACAGTAGAAACACTTGAAGATTTTTTTTTTGTTCATGTCAATGACAAGCAATACCTACATAAAGTGCCTATTATCTTCTTATTTAAAAAACCCTTCCCGCTCCCCCCCGCCCTCCCCAAATCTTGCAAATCAGACAAGACAAATGTAAACAAGAGTCAGGTTTTTTTTTTGGTCCATCGGGGCTGTAACTCTGCCACGTCTTTGCGACAGCTTAGGAGTGTCTTCTGCACGTGTTTTGGAGACACAGACGAACACACCACACAGAGCCAGAATCCGCGCACAGCTTCTCAAGTTAAAAAAAAAACCAAAACAACAAACCAACAACGACAAAAAAAAGAAACCACCCAACCCCAAACCCGCAA